GTCATCAAACCATGGCAACTGATTGGATGTGGTGGGTGAAGGAGTGTGAAGGGCCTATAAACTTGGGTGAGTGGAAGTTATTATGCCCTTGATGGAAAATAAGGAAGTTAGAAAAAGGCCAGGGTAAAGGAAAAGAGACAGAAGATAATGACTTCCATTTTCAATGTGAAGAATTAAAAGTTAATATGGGAAATCCAAGTAGAGATGTATGGCAGGCAGTTGGTAATGGAGAATTATAACTAAACAGAGAAAAGAGCTGGACCATCAACCTCAAAGAGTAGGGTTTAGATAAACAGAGACCCAAAGCTGAGATTCCACATGCTGGAGTACTTGCTCTCCCTGAAAAGAAAATGGTAGAACCATTTGAATCTGGACTCTCATCCATACAGCCTATGCCAATTTCAAAACAAAATTACCCGCTCATCAGAGCTCAGGCTTGGGGGATTCAGTTGAGTCAGAACAGTGGAATGAGCAATAGACTCTGGAGTCAGAAAACTTCAGTTAGAAACTTTGTGCTTCCATTCACTACCTTTGTGACACTGGATATAGCACTGAATCTCTGTAGAGCTAAGATTCCTTATCTGGAAAATAGGTGTGGGGGTGGAAAGTGGATTAGTTTATGTTTGAGGTCCCTTTCAACTCTTTCTTTATTTTAATGGATATAGAAATTAACATTGAAAACCTTCCTCAGGCTATCAATGAGATCAAAATAAATTTGGGAGATTAAAACTCAATTCCTCCATTGAAAAGTGAATCCTGGCTACAAAAACCATGCATGAAAATCAGCTGAAAATTTGATTTTAATTCACCTCATTGTGCTTCCTTTCTGATTAGTCCAAAGTTGTACAATGCCACAGAAATGGGAACACTAAAAATGGAGAGTGCAGAAACAAACCAAAAAAAAGCAGTTCTTTAGGATAGAGGCAAGTCATTGCATCATGCAATGATACTGTGCTAGAATAAGAGACATTAAAAAACCTGAATTCTGAGACAGTCTCTAACACTAACTGGCTGACCCTTGGTTTCCCTATCTGCAAAATGGGAATAATATTTTCAGTGGTACTTCACAAGGCTGTTGTGAGACCCAAATGAGATAATGAAAATTTTGAGGCAACACATAAGCATCAACTTTATTCTTTGGTTAGGCTTTTTTTTTTCAAAATGAAGCTCCCTTTGACTATATCAAGGCTGTGTTGTTTTTTGACAGCCTGCTTCCCAAATGGACTGTCTAGAAATATTTATTATGTCTTGGAGGTTATACCTCAAGTACTGATCTTTAATGAGACATCTATCATGAATAAAATATTTAATAGCTCCCCCCAGTTTTAAATGCACATTAATTAGTAGAAACATTACAACAGATTTATCACAGCCTCCCTACCTTAATACAAGTGCTACCAAAGCCCTACACAGAACAGTGAATAGGTAGCATTTGCTTTATGAGAGTGGGTGTGGTATGTCTCAATATCCTCATCTGGAAAAATGAGTGAGGTTGGATTGGATAATCTCTAAGGCCCTTTCCAGAACTGAATCATATTATCCATGGAACTACCTGAGTGAATTTCATCTTCCCCTTACTCTGGAATCTCCACTGTTTTAGAATCTTGATTTTTGAACAGGTCCTCAGCTATATACTAGAAGGAATGAAGAAGAATACTCTGGTGTTTCTCTTTACAAGTATACAGTGTGAGAGCCTGGGAACAATAAAATTCTAGACCATGAAGCTAAAGCTAAAAAAAAAAAAACAGTTAGAAGCCATTGAGTACCATCATTTAATTTTGCAGAAGAGGAAACAGAGGAAGTTTCAGTGACTTACCCAAGATGAGATAACTAATAAGTAGTAGAACAGGGTCTAGACCTCAGGCATTTTGGTTCCTACTCTGCTGTTCTTTCCATTACCTGCACCTCCCATCCTTCAAAGGAGCTCCCCCTCAATTCCTGCTCTTCAGATTCCTTATCAATGCAAGCCTGACATGTAGGCCAACTAGATAGCCACTTAGGTGATGAGATTTGAAGGATATCAGAAGGCTTTCATAGGATTAGAGAGTTAGAGCTGAAAGGGATTTTAGGAGCCATTGAGCCCATTTGGCTCATTTTACAGATAAGAAAAGTGAGGGACAGAGAGATGGAATGACTTGCCCAGAGTCACACAACTAGTAAGTGCCTGAAGCTGAATTTAAGTCTAAATCCTCCTGATTCCAAGTTCAGCCCTCTACTACTCCAATTTGCCTCCGACTATTCTCCAATCCTGTACCTCCCAGAATTGCAATCTTCCTCCATGATGCAGCTCAAACACCACCTGTCATCTACTCTCTGCATGACTTGTGCATGTCTACTTCTTAACACGTCTTTCATTTTGGAATATGGGATACTTGAAGGCAGAAGCTGATCTTGCTTTTTCTTTGCATACACAGTTCTTAGCACAGTGCCTGGTACATAGCAAGTGCTTAATAAATGCTTTTACTGACTGACTGAATTCTATATGAAGCCTTCCCTCATCCCCCAACTGCTAATACCCTCTCTCTCTAACTGTATTTTATTTAGCATCTTTGAAAGGACCTTAGAGGTCACGTCATCCATCCTTTCCGTTTTATTTATGAGGAACCTGAAACTTAGTTACCTCACCCATAGGATAAAGATTACATTAAGATGCAAAGTAGTTGTGAGGATTGAATGAGATAATATATGTAAGGCAGTTTGGGAACACCAAAGTTGGGAAAACACAGTAGCTAATAATAATAATAGTTAACATCTACATAGCACTTACTACGTGCTAGGCACTGTGCTAAATGTTTTACAGATATCATCTCATTTGATTCTCACAACCACCCTAAGAGGTAGGTGCTATTAATATCATCATTTTACCTATGAGAAAACTGAGGCAAACTGGTGTTGTGACTTGTCCAGGGTCACACAGCTAGAGGCATCTAAGGCTGAATTTAAACTTGGGTATTTCTGACTCCAGGCTTGGCACCTTATCCCCAGTGCCATCTAGCTGCCCATGTGAGTTACTATTATGCCCATTTGGTAGGTGAAGAAACTGGTTCAGGATATCACTTACATGGCCACCTCTGGAAAGAGGGGTGGTGGATTATAGGTACAAAATGGGGCATACTTTGACATCCATGGCCAATGTGTTGGTTTCTTTTGCTAAACTAGATTTGCTTCTTCCTTACCTTGGAGGAGTGAATGGATAGGGTCTTGGAGGAAGGGAGAGGCCATTTGGAAGTGACAGCAATGTAAAAATGAGAAAGCATCAATAAATCATTATTTTTTGAAGAAATTGTATCATCCAATATTACACAGGCAGCAAGGGTCAAAGCTGCGATTTGAGCCCAGTTCTCCCTTAACCCAGCTCTCTGTCCACTTCTCCATGCTGTCTTTCACATAGCAAATCGGCAAATATTTATTGAACATCTACAGCCCTGTGCTGAATGTGCTATAAATAAAAGTACAAGGCATGGTCTCTCCCCTCAAGTAGCTAATTATTGAGGGACGAGGTACTAAAAATGTGCTTAAGAACAAGAGTCTGTCTGTTATAGGGCTGCACTAAAGCTGTAATATCATGAAACAGTGGATCCCTCAATGCTAGAGTGATCAAGGATGTTTTCATGAAAGAGATGAGACAAGCTGAATCTTGAAAGTTAGCTATGATTTGGTTAGATGGAGAGGAGGGAGGAGGAAATGGGATAAGCAAAGGCAGGGAGGTAGCATATTTAGAGAAGACAAGTTTGGCAGGAGTGGAGGGTACGTGTAGAGGAGCAATGAAAAATAAAGATGATAAGATATGTTAGGGTCAGCCTGTGGAAAGCCTTAAATGACAGATCATTTCTGATTAAAACATTATCCAGAAAGCAATAGGAATTACCTGAAGGATTTGTGAGCTGAAGGTTTTGAGCAGAGGAACGGTATGATCTAAACAGTGCTTTAAGAATTCTGATGAGTTTTAAGACCTGAATGGGTTGGGTTAGGTCTGGCTTGACAATAATTGGCCCTGGGCCTTTGCTGGGCATCCAGGTTTCTTCCCAAGAATGGTCATTTAAGTAACAGAAAATCAAGAGAACACTTTACAGTGTTTGCAGAAAAACTTCAATGTTTGTATAGGGTAGCCTCTTGTATTTGTCGAAACAATGATATGTTGACATAAAAACAATCAGAGTATTCATGGACCACAGTGCCTTGGATTGAGAGTTGGAAGGGACCTCAGAAGTCATCTAATATGAATCCTTCATTTTACACATGAAGAAACTGAGGCCCAGAGATGTTTAGCGACATAATTATAATAATAAGAGCTCACATTTCTGTAGCACTCTAACGGTAAAAAGCTATTCCCTTCAGAATAGACCTCATGAAGGAGATTTTGCAAGGGAATGTGTGTTTCCACTTTACAGCTCAGAAAATTAAGGTTTCCTGACTTTCTCAAGGTTATATTAGTTGTAAATATTGAATCCAAGATTTAAAACCAAGACCTTTTTTATTCCAGGGCTGATCCTATTCAATTGCGTAAGTATTTATTAACTACTCACTGTATTTAAGTCCCATCTCTAACACATGCTGCCTGTGTAACCCTCATCAAGTCACTTCATTTTGAAATGTTCCAGGAGACTCTCTAGAACTATTAGTTGCCTATCTGCATTGGCCCAGTATCTTTCCTTAACAAGAATTTTAAAAGGCCTGGGCTACTATTTCCCCATCCATTTTTTATAAATGCAAAGTATTATTTTGTTTTGTTTTTACCCAGACCTACTAGTCCATTGGTATGGGGAACTCCCAGTTAGGAAGGTCCAGTTTCCAATGCTAATAAACAACTAGCTTGTAATTTATAAAATTAGAGAGTTGCTGAAGGGCACTGAGGGTTAAAACAGCTCACCCAATGTCACTATGCCAATATGTGTCAGAGGCAGAATTTAAACCCATATCCTTCCAACTCAAAGTCTAGCATTCTATCCATTATACTTTGTTGTCTAGAGATTCAAAGATAAAAATGGCCAACAGCTTTGCCTTCAAGAAGCTTAGAAGTCCAGTTCTCTTCTTACTGGCCCAGGGTCAGCATTTTAAGTGTAGCTTCGTAGCTTACATTCTTTTGGCAAGTGACGTGTTAACTTTTTAATGAGTTGATTTTCATCCAGAAAAAAAAAAAGCAATGTCCTCCATTTTGCTTGCCTCCGGCCATGTGCATTAACCAGAGCCCAGTTACTGTGGTTCTGAATCTGGAAAAAAGAGGTGAACATTAATAAACAGGAAGGTCATGAAATACACAGTACAAAGGGTTTTGTTATTCCTTCAACATTTGTCACCAGATGCTTGCCTCAAATAAATCTCGCTTTGAGAAATGGATTTTAAGACTTGCTTAGATGTGACAGCTGTAAAAGTCCCTTGTGAACTCTGAAAAGGCAATCTCGATCCAGCTGCTTGTGTTTGGGCTAGACAAAATGAAAATGCTGTGTTACAGAATCTTCCTCCCCCTCAAGCCCCCCAACATTTCTTCCCATGGCTTTGAAAAACACCAAGGCCAACATGATGAAATGTGAGAGTATTTTAATGCTTTATTGTGGCTTTGCAAATAGGATGATTTAATGGGGAAAGTCCTGGACTATGATCCTATGACAAAGCCAGCCTTCTGACAAGATGGCACACAAGAAATGAGGAGTTAGGTCAATGGTTAGAAGCCTAAGCATGTTCCAAGCCAACTTGGAGCAGAGCTGGGCTAAGAAAGGGGACAGAACCCTTGAGCAAGCTAGGTAAACACTTTAGCAGTGATCCAGGAGGTCAGACATGTATATTTGGATACATTCTGGCTGTTTCCTACAGGGTTCACTTACTTAACCTGAGACACAGTGTCCACCCATCTCTATTGGCCGTGGACCCGGCATTCTTACCTTCTCCATCCCCATAGGTCAGCTGGAACTCCACAAAGAAAGGATAAAAAATCTTGCCCTCCTAAGGGCATAGGAAATAATGTGAATATGACTGGGTAGTAGAAAAGTGCTGGATTTGAAATGAGAAGAATAAGGTTCTAGTCCTGACTCTGTGACTTCTTACCTGTGTAATCTTAGACAAGTTTTTTCTGAGCCTTGGTTTCCTTAGTAAATTGAAGGTTTTGGACTAGATGGTTTCTGAGGTCCCTTCAAGCTCTAATATTCTCTGATTCTATCTCTCCTATTCACAATCAGCAGAGCTATCAATGGTCCACAGATTTCTTTGCTGTGCTATGTCCACTACTTAGTATTAGATTTAGAGGGCAGAAAAAGAGAACACTACAACAGACTGGCGAGTCACTTCTACTTAGAGAACACATGAAAAGCCATCCACTCTGTCTGACAGTAACAACCTCTGATGCTATCAAAGGCAATGTGTTTCTTTGTCCAGGGGAAATAATGGTCAGGTTCAAAGTCCCTACACTTTGGAGAGATTCTCCTCGAAGTATGCATGTTAAGTTATGGTAACTCTGGCTAATGAGAAAGGTAATGAAGCTGCTTCCATTTCTTTTTCCCTGAAGGTCTGAAGTCCTTAGCCAACTACTTCAGTGTTTGATGAATAAAGCACAAAGGTGGGAAATGAATACATGAATATTCTGAGTCTCAAGATATGTTGTTTGTTTAGCCATACATGGGGAAACATTAACTGGATCCCCTGCGTCCATAACCTTCAACTATCTGGGAATTTTACTGTGATCCATGTTAGGTAAAAAGATCACAATAAATAGGACAAATCATAGTAAAAAAATACTTTTTAAAAAAAAGAGAGAGAGATAAACCTTCTAGGACCAAAGTCAGTACACAGTTCAATAGATACGCTGTTTCTGTCCATGGTCCTGAACAATAAGACTTGAAGCTCAGAATCATTTCATTGGAGTCTAACTAATATGATCAAAGAGTGAAATCAAAAGGCTCTCTGTGGGCCTCATCCACATAAACTCAGTCAACAATGTGCAGACAAAGAAGGATCAAACAAATGCCTGAATCATGTAGATTTGTTTGTAGAAATGAAGGGGATTATTGTGGCAAATCAAAAACATTGTGGCATTTCCTCTAGAAATTACAGAAAAGCTAATAGTTATAGTGCCCAGACTTAGCAATCATTAATGATTATGAAAGGAAACCATAGAAATTGTGCAATAGATTATATAACAATTCAGCACCAACCAAAAACCTAACAAGACATGACCTAGTGTCTAAAAGTCAAAACTATACAGCATTATTATTCCCATTTTACAAATGAGCAAAGGCCCAGAGAAGCAAAGTAACTTGCCCAAAGACATATATATATATATATATATATATAATATATATATATATATATATATATGTAAAGTATATATAAATACATACACACATTATGTATATATATATATATATATATATTTTTTCAAGATTCAAACTCATCCTCTAAAAACTTCCATCATCAAAGAAATAGTCAATTACTTTCATGTCACTTACTAAGGCAGAAAAGTAGTTTCATATTTAAAAAGATTATCTACAAGGACTGAGTGCAAAAGGAATTTAATAATGACAACTTGCTAATCAGGATGCAACTGGTTAAAACTGTCAACTCCAACTATCTAGAAATTTGCCAGAGAATACCAATCACAGCCACTGACACTGAGACTTGAATAATAACTTCATGATTTATGAGTCATTTCCACACTAATGATACCCACAGCCAGTGGGTACCACTACGCAAGCTGGCCCATAGTAGAGACAAGATGGATAAATAGCTCTATGTGGAGTTAGGAAGACCTGGATTCAAATCTTCCTTCTGACACTAATCTATTTGACCCCAGGTGATCTATCAACAATCATTTATTAAGTATCTACTGCATACCGGTCATTCTAGGATCTAAGGGCACAAAAACAGAAGTGAAATAGCTCCTGCCCTTAGGAAACTAATAGTTTGTCTGGGAGAGACAAGGGACAAATAGACAAATAGAAAAAATACATGTTTATGTGCATTTACACATATAGACATATATACATATTTGTTTGTGTTTTCTTGGCAAAAATGCTGGAGTTGTTTGCCATTTCCTTCTCCAGATTATTTTACAGATGAGGAAACTGAGGTAAACAGAGTTAAGTGACTTGCTCAGGATCATACAGCTAGAGAGTGTTTGAGGACAGACTTGAACTCAAGAAGATGAATCTTTCTGACTCCAGGACTGGCATTCTATCCACTGTACCACGTAGCTGCCCTCTGCATACATACACACACATATATATACATATATGTATTCAAGCATATGTATATGTATATATATATATACATATATATACATATATATACATATATATGTATATATATACATATATGTATATGTATATACATATATATACATATATACATATATACATATATATATATGCAAATACAAAAAAGTTACAAGATAATGTAGGGAGAAGTCACTAGTAGTTGGCATCTGAAATGCTGTAGTGTTTGAGCTCTGTTTTGAAGGAAACTAAGGGTTCTAAGGAGAGAAGTAGAAGTCTAAGCTTCAGTTTACCAACATATAAAATGGGGATATTATATATATATATATATATATATATATATATATATATATATAACTACCTCACAGAGTTGTAAGGTTGAAATAATATTAGATACGCAATTTCTTTCAAAACTTGAAAAGCACTAGATGAATGTCACTTACTATCACAAAAGCAAGAGCTGACGTGAGAACACCAAAGAGAAACAAAAACAAATTACTCTCCATGACGTCCTTCTCTGTGATGCATACATGCACCATACTCTCCTATACTCTCTCTCCATACTGCCCCAAAAAACTCTAAGCTCACAGATTCCTCCCACAATGAGAACACAACACCCTTACCAAGCAGGGCCAAAGTATACTGTAACACATTTTGTGGTCATCTTTCCTCTCATTCAATTCCAACCTTCCTTATCTCTTACAATAGAAATAATTATCTTTTTCTCTTCTCTTCTTTCTTCAGTTGACTACAAGCCTAGAAAAGGGTAATAAATCCTTAGGAGGTTGACTCATGCTAATTAAGCAAGGTTTGGTGATGGAAAACTGCAAGAATAGTCCTTACAGTTCCCTGAAGTCATTATCAGGTGTCACAGAATCATACAGATTTATAGAACTTAGAACTAGAAGGCACATTAAAGATCATCTATTCCAGCCTCCTTATTATACAGATAAGGAAACTGAGGCCCAGCTGAAGGAAGTAACTTGCCCAAAGTCACAGTTAGTAATTAGTGGAACCAGGATTCTAAACCATGACATGTGGCTCCACATGTAGGGCTTTTTCATCTCCCCCACCTTGCTTTTCTTCATGTTAAACACTGGGGTGACTTCAAGCTCAAAGTCAATCACCACCAAGCTCTGCATATCCAAGCCAAAACTTGAAAGTAGTTCAATTGATCTTAAGTGCACTTAGTCAATACACATTCCTATTGCCAGAAGCAGTCCTTGCCCATGAAATAACACTCAGCAGACTTCTCAGGATGACTCCTTGTCAAAGCCTATATAATGATTGTCATGAGGTATAAAATATGATTAGAAAATTACATCTCTGGAGTTTTAAGAGAAGTTACTACAACTACCTAAAAAGCAAATGAGTCAAAGATCTATGATATTGTCAGTGTGGGAACTTTTTACATCAGTGAAGGTCACCACCTTTCTATAACTTAGTGGATAATTCCTAAAGTTAGTTGTCCAAAGCTCAGAGAAGTTACAGGACTTGTCCATGGTCCCACAGTTTGCATCAGAGGCAATATTTGAATCCAGCTCTTCCTATCTCCAACTACAATGAGCTATTGACAAGGCTTCCTTGCCTCTCATTTTAAAAGGAACCTTTTGAAAAGTGCATGGATTGAGTTATTTTGCACTTTTCAGGGAAGTCCTTTCAAAGGAGCAGATAAGGTGCTGATAATGTTGATACTTCAGAGATTAACATGATTCATGCTCTCACCTCTACCTCAGAGAATCTCCTGCTTCCTTCGAGTCTGAGCTTGGGTGACACCTCTTGTGTGAAAATTATCAGTGTCATAGTCTGATTTGTTAGTTTGTCTCTGATTGTGCCTCAGTGGAATTACTCATATTCTACCCAGTCCAAAACATACCAGCTATAATCAAGTAAGAAGAGTTGTATACTTTCTTCCTCTACTGCTTTTGTTATGTGTGGGTCTTTTTGGATAGCAGCAAAGATTTGTTGCATCAATGGCTCCTCCCCATTAGAACACTAGAAACAAC